ATTAAAAAATAAATATTAATTTTAAATTAATTAATTAATTAAATAAAATTATTTATGTATTAATAGTATTAAAATAAATGTCAATTACATTTATAATTTTTTATGTAAATTAATTATAAAAAAAAAATATTCATTGCACCATTAACCTATATCTTTAAAATATAAAATAGATAAACGCTAATAAAAATTCGTATTCATTAACTAAACCATAAAAATAAACCAAATTTATTAAAAGTGTAATTGTTGATTTTAATTTAATTAATTAATTAATTAAAATTATGTATGTATAAATAGTATTAAAATAAATGTCAATTACATTTATAATTTTTTATGTAAATTAATTATAAAAAAAAATATTCATTGCATCATTAACCTATATCTTTAAAATATAAAATAGATAAACGCTAATAAAAATTCGTATTCATTAACTAAACCATAAAAATAAACCAAATTTTATAAATTTATTTAAGAAGGTAAAAATAGCTAAGGCTTGATATTAATAATTTTCTAGTAAAGCAGGGGATGATATCAAACAAGTGAGTATCCCTGGTGGCCAAAATCAAGAATGTGAATATCCCACTGAGTGAAAAGAGACTCATGAGGGAGAGCTTTGCCGTCCATTGGGTCTTACCCGGTTCGAATCCAGATTAGTCAATGGCCCAATGGGCTTCTGGATACTGAATGGTCATACCAAAAAAAAAAAAAAAAGAAGAAAAGAGACTCATAAATTTCTATCATTTGCGATTGTAAAATTGTGAATATAAGACAACATTGATCAAATGTGAAGCGAAATAACCTCCATAATCCATACCATTCCCTGCAGGTGCAGCAAAATCAAGCATTTTCATGTATGTCTCATATACGCACTGCAATCAGCTAGCAATGATAAATCACTATGCAAGTGCAATATATTTTTGTTTATTGCTTTTTTATTTTTGGTACATTGAAGAGTTAATTGTTTAGCATCACAAAGATTTGAACTTTTAATTTTGACCATAAATCAAAAATTTTAAATTTGACCATAAATCAAAAATTTTAAATTAGTACAAACCAATTCAATTAAGTTCTTATTAGTGCAATATATTTTTGTCTATAATTCTATGGATGCATAGTTGCAACTTTTATGAACTAAAAGGTCAAGCACAAGAAGAAAAAACAAGTATTCAGAATGTAAACAGAGTGATCCACCACGAAACAATCTCTTTCAACATGAAGACAATGAAAAGTTATCTGTTGGGAACTAAGTCTCGTGAGATTAAGAAACCTGTAGATTGAGGGGAAAACCAAACATGAAACATAACAAGCTTTCTTTTTTCTTTTTTCTATTTTTTGACAAGGCAATGATTAGAAGTTAGTAAAATTAGAATTGTTAATAGAAGGTATTGAACCTGGATAAGGATGCAATCCATCGGCTGTCTTTTTGGGCAGCAGCGGCCACAGCCACAACGGAAAAATACAAAAAGGGATGGGGATTAAACCCCACACCCAAAGTAAAATACCCTTTAACCAATGGTTAAGTGACCACCTGGACCACAAGAGCTTCTTAAAAACATAACAAGCTTTCTGATCCAATAAAAAATTCGATCCACATTCTAGCTAAAAAGAATAAAGCTTTGAGTTGGTAGGGAAGACAATATTAGAACGATGCATGCACCATAATACTAGATTCATAGACATAGATGCGAACCCAACCTCAATGAAGTTTATCACCTAGCAAGAAACTGGTCCACTAAGGGCAGAAACTTGAAAATTTTGAGCAACCTCATTTTGTAGCTACACACAAACATACGAGAACACATATATATCAGTGCAGAAAGACAGACATCATATATATAGACATATTGGCAAAAAGTCTATTCCAGATTAAAGAATTCGTTCTGAATTGTCCTCGGCTGAGATAGATAAATCTCCCTGCAAGACACTGGACAACCATAAATAATCACTTCTACTAAAGCAGCAGCTACTCAGCTGTCCTTAAACTCAAAACACCAGAATTGAAAATTCTGCATGATTTGGCAGCAACCAGGAAAGCTGAACCACCATACCAAAAAGCCGCAAATCAATGATGATAAGAAGTTTATTCAAACGAAAAGGAAAAGAACAACAAAACTTCCCCCAAACCTACATTACTAATTTCGCAAGCAAAGCTTTCACCACC